CTTCTGAGATGCCTGAGGCTGCCCGAAAGCTACAGGAGGATATTGACAGCATCAACAGATGGGCAGAAATAAATGAGTTAAAGCTGAATGCAGATAAAACCAAGGCTATCCTCTTTGGGTTCAGACATCTCATTAACTTCCTTCCTTACTTTCTTCTACTTAACCTCAATAACCGTACCCATCCATTTTTTCCCTACCGTCAAAAACCTAGGAGTAATCTTTGACCAGAATCTCTCCTGGAATAACTACATCTACCAGATTACTCGAAAATCCATAACTGTCCTTAAACAACTCCTACGATTCCGTGATTGTATTCCTCTAAATACCAGACAACTCCTTATAACCTCCTTTATATTCCCCCTCTTCAACTACGGCTGTTTGGAGTATGGAGGACTATCTGCCAGGCTAGTAATGAGACTGAAGAAACTCATAAACTGTTTCATAAGACACATCTTCGGGATCCCCAGGCGTTCACATGTTTCATTCTTATACACGGAGTTGAAGTGACTTTATCCTACTTCTCAACAATTCCTCCTTAGTGTTTTCTTTTTCTCAGTTCTCAGAATCAAAAACCCTCCCTAGATTCTGGAATTCCTTACTCTTACGTTCCTGTATCCACTTTCTTAAAACCAGGTCTCAACCTATAGATTTATGTATCCCCTCCCATAAAACTACTTCCATCAGCAAATCCTTCCTCATTCGTGTTCCTCCTTTGGGAAATCTCTTTCTATCTCCATACGTCAATCCTAATCCACAAATTCATTCAAACAACTCGTATTCCATCACCTACTCCACATTCAAACTTCCCCAAACATGTAAAATTACTTGCATCTGTATACTGTTTAATTTCAATTAACTGCACCATTGCAATAACAATCAACAGTTAATTAGTTTGTATTTTTTATTATTCTGAGCCAGACTAAGACCCATAAATTTGTAACTCTGTTATTATTCTTAGAGGACTGTAGTCCCAGAATAAAATTCTTTTTTCTTTTCATAATGTGGCTTAGTGAGAGGAGCTGGGATCTCCTTGAGTGAATGAACTTTTTAAACATTGTATAGAAGCATGTGTGTATTTAAGTAGTTATTTTGATTTGTTTAGTTTATATACATTTACTTTTAGTACTATTATTTTGCTGTTTCTTTATGTTTATTGTAGTAAATAGTGTGAATGAGCCACTTTTCTATCAATATTACTATTGTCATTAGATTTGACAGATATATCTCAATAAATAATTTTGGTCAAGCAAACAAAAAAAAGTATGTGGATGTGACCTTGTATCTATTATAACTTTTATTTTTTAGTATGAAATAAGTAATTTTTACGGAAAAACTCGTATTTGACCAGCAGTCATTTTCTATTCCAGGGGCTAAATGATGGCATACGTTCATTTTTCTTTTGAGGACTTTGGACATGGTTAATTTATTTGATCAAACCTTAGTATGGAATACACTAACCATTTTTTTTTGCCACTATCTCCCGGGCTATCTCATATTATTACAATTAGAGAAGGGAGCAGCCAAGTGGCTATTGTTTTTGTTAAATGAAGACTTGAATGACATAAAAATAGTTTCTGAACGATATTAGATAAAATTATTGAATATATAAGTATACATGTATGTACACATACCATTAAACTACCTTTTGTATGCATCCCTTCTCTTTATATCTTGAGGTATATTGGGAACATTTAAATGTACACAAAATCAGTTGAATCGAATATTGTATAATAAATAAAAATGATACAAGAGTAGAAAAAATATGATAGTTTATTTTATATATATATATATATATATATATATATATATATATATATATATATATATATATAGTAATATATATATATATATATATATATATATATTACTTAAAAATACAAAATCAAAGTTGACACAGTAATAATTAATATTAAATTAAGGTAACTTATTAATTTATAAAACAACATTATTAAACAATGTAAATTTTTAAAAATTGAAATATAATAATATTAAAATAAACTAAAAATACAAGCTTGAGAAATAATAAATCAATAGAGGAACGATTGTTTTATTGAAACAATAACGCACTTTTTAATTATATAACAGCCATTTACACACTTATAAATATATATATATATATATATATATAACTAAATACTTTTATATATATTTGAATATTTTCTTAGCCCTATAGATTAAGTTTTTTTATAATTAGCAGATATAGCAGAGTGAACGAACTAATATGTTGCTACTCATTGGATTCAATCAGGAAGCTTTCATTTCTATTTTTATTTATTACTTTTTCGTTTGAAAATATTAATACTCCATATAATATAGGATATACTTGAGGGCTGCGATATTAATACTTTACAATACTTAAAAATTAAATGAAATATATTATCACATATCATTGATTTTACAGAATAGATTTGTTAAAAATAACATTTAAATTTTGAGTTGCATGACTTATTTACTACTTATCAGTAAATATATCAATTAAAGTAAACTTCTGGCATTACTTTGTATTTCATTTAAATCAAAGCTATTTACAACTATTCAATTGAATAACAATTATGTCATCACAGTCTTTCCTTAATATTTACAACATTTCAAATCATAGAATCAGTAGTTTTCAACAAAAAAGCAAAATAAAAATAATTAAAAAAAGAGGGAGATACATACAGAGTGTCCCAAAAGTAATGCGGAATATTAAAAGATGTGATAGTAGACCTCTAGGACTAAAAAAAAGTTCAAATAGATCTTGGACCGACTCTACACAGAAAGTAGATTTAAATTTTGGGATTAAGTAAGTCGCGATTTTTGTTAAATTGGAAGCGATAACTAAGAAATTACTATCTGTTTCATAGTAAAAAAACATTTTTTTTTTATTACAAAAAAGAAGAATCGGTCTTAGTTAAATAAAATTCAAGGAGACAGTTATTATTCACGTTTTTTTTATTTATCATTTTAGCCGCAACTAAACTACAGACATCCTACTTCTAGAAAAAAATTCCTTGGTTAATAAGTTGATATTTATTAAGTCAAAGTTGGTTACTCAAAGTGTTTTCAGCAATATTAATTACAATAAATCATTACAAACCTTTTGCAATGATTTATTGTAATATAAGTAATATTGTAATATATACCAATTTAATATAATAGCTTACATTATTAATTTTTTTTATTAAGAAATAACACATTTCGCCACACCTAAAGGCGCTGTCCAACCATATATCATTGTATGAATGTGCCTCACTTAGCTCTAGTACTCAGTGCCCTTAAGTATGGCAAAATGTACCATTTTATAATAAAAAGTTAATTAGATTTTCTAAAAAGAAAGAAAAAATTAAACTCTTCAATCCTTTGAATTATTTTCATGAAAACTTAAATTATCAGGATTAGTACTCATATAATTAAGATCAATACCTATAATTAATAATCAACCTATAATGCTCAGCGGCGCAACAGGGGCCTGGGTCTTTTGCGGTTTCAGTGGTAAGCTCCTGCTTGGTCTATATCCTAAAAATGTATGGCAGAAAGATCCTTACAGGCTTGGAGTGGACGAATGCTTTGAAATTTAACATGAACTATGCTCCTCTTCGTGGAGTTGCAGGAACCGGAGGGGAGGCGAATGGAGAGCTGGACCCCTCTGCCACAAATGTGGCCGAGAGCCAGAAAACCCAGCTCATGCAGTGGCAGATCCAGGAATTTTCTCAGAGAAGTGGGCACCTCTGTACCAGGAGCTTCCCTTATCCCTGCCCGTTCCCTCACCACCACGCATCTCCCCCCACTCCTTATCTAAGTTTAGCCACTAAAAAGTCCTCTTTAAACGGTTTTAACAAAAACAGACTCTATATCTATTTCAAGTAAATTTTGTCTAGTTTACAGTGAAGCGATCATTAATTGCTTAAATTAAATAGTTTTTTAATTATCACTTCCTATTCATCAATAAAACGTGACTTACAAAAATCATAAAAATTTAAATTACCTATTTTCCTGCTGAAAAACCAACAATAAATTCTGATTCCAATCGTATCAGAGACCAAATAATTAGTTCCCATGAAAAAGTTCCCGACAGCGACTATTTTAAGAAAAGAATTACACTTTCTAATGAGAAATATACAAATTATTATCGAGACCAGTATTATGAATTGTAAGGATTTTTCAAGGAGACTATAGTTGATGAAGGTTGCAATGCATCCAGAGCTTGGAACTGAATAAACCTGGATCCGGGAGAAAAACCTTATTTACTTGTGTTCTCTTGCGAGGAGCCAGAATTCCAAATTACATTTTTTAAAATAAAACTGGCAAAACTTAGCCTGTTTTGTGACAAACTTCGACTCAATTAATATTGACTTGAATTGGGGTATCTATAGTTTAGTTGGAGGCTGAAAAAAAAGAAAAAAAAAAGACCGTGAATAGTAACTAATATTAATTGCACTGTTGAAATGGTTTTAAATAAGAAAAATTCTAGTTGTATTTGAAGAAAATCGTGTCTTCTCTACTATGAAGCAAATGATAATTTCTGAGTTTAATTATTTTTTTAGTTATCTTTATTCAACAAAAACCATAATTTACTCTAATACAAATATTAAGTCTCTTTTTTTCTGTATGGAATCTTACAATGGTCTATTAAATTTTTGTAGTTCTTGAGAAGTAAATATTTTCAGTTACTTATTGGGCACGCTGTATATGTTTATATAAATATACATCACTTTAGTATCAATACACAAACATTTAACATTGTTTATATCCCATTAACATAAAGTCCACTAACAATGAACATTTCTAATTACGTATTTTAGATTGTATAATCTGCTCTTATAAATTAATGAGCATTATAAATTATAGAATAATGATTGGGTTTGGGGAAATAAAAATTAAAATAATATTTTGTTAACAAATCAAAATGTAAAAATATTTACAATGGTAAATTTACATGTATTTTTGAATATAAATATATGTGTATATATATATATATATATATATATATATATATATATATATATTTATATACATACACACTCTCTCTCTCTCTCTCTCACACACACACACACACACACACATAAACATTAACCCAACACGTCCAAGCCAAATGTTGGCCAATTAAAGTTGAAAGTTCTGCATACTTGATGCATAATCTGGTCGATATACCGATGACTTCGATCTTCCAGTTCTGTTGGAAAATTCGGAATAGCGGTCCATATCACCTGGTTGTGGCATCAATAAAACTGGATGTAAATTCAGTGATTTTCTTGATCCTGCTATCGAATGACCATCACCCATGAATCCTCCATTTACTTCTCCTAAAAAAAAAAAAAATAAATAAAGAACATTTGTTTAATTAATGATGACATCTTATCCTAAATAAATAACTATAAAGATGTTTCAGACATTAATCTCATATTTCATTAGACAAACGTAAGAATCTGTGTCTGGCCCATGAAAGATGAGTCCACTTTAGTCTTTAAAGACCAAGAAAGCTATCATAGGTATCCTTCAATGTTGGCCTAGTAAAAAAAAATTTTTTTTTTCCATATTAGTCTAGTCAATGAACGCTTGCAAAGAGGGTATAGAAGGAAATGAAAGGCACACAATGTTTGACTTCAGGACATTGTTTGGACTAGTAAGAAGGCACTAGCGGATCCAGGATTTAATTTTGGGGGAGGCTTCAGCCCGAAAGATTTTTTTTCATATATATAACGATAAATTAATTTGAAAAAATAAAGAGAAAGAAATGAATTACCTATATGAAATGGTGTTTAAGTGATTTTTGTCCTAGTATTTAAGTCCTATTAAATGTAATTACACGAACAATAATACTTTAAGAGATAGTTTTTAATATTTTTTTCTATAAAACATGGTTATATTTTACCGTTTTGGAGGGGCTTCAGCCCGAAAGCCCTCCCCCCCCCCCCCGTAAATCCGCCTGTGTAAGAAGGTAAACAGAATAAAAGTTCCCACTCCTAGGTGATGTACCAAATGGGGGAGGGAGGCATATAAAATCACTTTTTTCGGTTTTCGCTAATATCAGGAAAATCATTTATCGCAACAACAAAGACATTCTATACAAACTTAAAGCTGATAAAATTTGCAATATGATTGATTCTATGACTTATTTCGCTACTTCTCTTAGTTTCTAAAATATCTGTCCCCAACTATCGCTAATCGGAAAGCCAGCAGAACAAAGCACTGCATTTAATTTTGGGCGCATCGCGCTCAACTCCTATTGCAGCTATGGAGCTGCAGACCACAGTGGAACCCCTTTCGAAACGGCGTGAGTAAGCTGCAAAGTGTCTCCACGATTGAATGAGAAGAATAAACCCAAAGTTTTGGAAAAAATACAAAATCCCAACTCAACGGCTCAAGATACAAAATCTTTCATGCTAAAGGCGAAGGCTTTGCTTGAAGAAAGAGGACTGGACTGTGAAGGGAGCCATTTATGCAGGCACAGTTCCCAATCTACAATCACGCAAGCAGGGCAAAGCTGGAACTCCTCCATAAGGTGCATAAAAAAGAAACACCAGGCTATGACCTAAAAGCAATAGCACTAGAAACTATAGCTCTAAAGTACCCTCCTCAGAATTGGCTTCACATTTATACAGATACATCAGCTCAATCAGTCGTTAAAAATGCTGGGGCAAGAGTTTACCCGAGAGAGGTTCAGTTCAGTGCTGTGGTGGGTAAGGAAGGTACAAATTTTGATGGTGAGATAGTAGCGATCCTTATAGCCCTAAGAACACTTATCAGAAAGGCAAGTTCAGAGAGCTGTTCTCTTTGTTGCCTCGAAAGCACCAATCCTCGCTATTACTGACGAGAATAAATTTCTGTCTAGTGCTATTTTGGAGTACAAATCCCTTCTCTACGATTTAACACTCCGAGGCACCAATGTGGTCCTACAATGAATTCCGAGCCATTGCGGTATTCCAGGAAATGAGGGAAGCGAATAGTCTCACCAGGAGAGGAGCAGAATTGCCTCAAACAGTCCATCCAAACTCATACGATTCAATTCGACGAATGGTCAGGATGGTAGTGAAGGAGAAAACAAAAAATATGCACAAAGACAAGGTGGAAGGGAGACGTTATGGATGTTTGGTGGAAAACCCGATCCCAGCAGACCTACCAAGAAGAGATGCAGTAGCCTGTTTCCGCCTGGCCACCGGTCACGAGTATCTACAAAGTCATCTCCACAAGATAGGTGTGGCTGAGGATCCTGGGTGTAAATTATGTGAACAAGCGAAAATGGATGCAGATCACCTAGATAAATGGCCTGCTTTGACGGACATAAGAAATTAAACATATGTGAATGATTATATAAAAAAATAAAATTTATATTGGACAGCAAGATGTCAGATGGTCGAATGACCAATGACTATGGCATAAGAAAAAAACAAAAAACTATCGCTAATTTGAAAGAAAAAATATGTCCCATGTTTTTTGCTCTATTTGAAAAGCCAACTTTACGATAGAGTCATGAAGAAGAAAGTTTTTAAAGATTAAATTTTTTTTTAAGAATCTCATATATTATATCTCTTTTCCGGCTCTCAGGAGTGATGGATTTTGACAAATGAGGTATCAATAGTAAAGAAATATCGCGTAGAATTTTTTATTTTTTTTTTATTGAAAAATATTACAGTCAGCTTCAAAGAACATTTATAATAGTGTTAGAATCATAGATCACATTCACACTCTATGTACAATAAATAAAAATAAATTATACAAAAAAATGATATATATATATATACAATAAACAAGAATTAAATAACCTAAAAATAAATAAATAAAAAAGAACTCATACATATCAAAATACACTATTTACAATCAGACAAGAGAACTCCGAGCCAGACTTGTCCCTTCAACTGTGGAGGGAAAAGCATGACTCCAAGAGATCCCTGCACTTCTCCCTCGACCGCATCACTGGGGCTAAACCCAGTGGATATTGAGCGAGAGTGCTTTAACCACAGACACTCATGTCGTGAGTGTAGAATCTGACCATTGCCAGAACTCCAATATTTACAAACTATAAAAGGTCGAGGGTGATGCTGGATAGGGATTGTGCAAAGGGATTCGGATGATAGGTAAGGTTCTGGTTAAATTTGGAGAATTTTGCTGGGATAAGGTCTAGAACAAATGGGATATTAAGGTCATGGTGTAGAGTTTTGTTGGTGCTCTATCAGGGAGAGGTGTCTTTGAAGATTTAAGAATGCTATATCAGGATCTAAGTCGGATGATAGAATGGCGGTGTCATCAGCAAATGTTGCTAGGAAGGTATTGGGATGGACAGGGATATCGGCGGTAAAGATGATGTAAAGGAGGGGGCCCAATACGCTATCTTGAGAAACACCAGCCTCAATTGTATAGGAATTGGAAAATTCAGTGCCGCAGCGAACTCGGAAGGTACGATCAGCGAGGTAGGACCTGACGACAAGGTATAAAGACTGAGACAGATGGGTTTTAGGTTTGAAAAGAAGCCCGGCGTGAAATACCCGGTCAAAAGCTTGAGATATGTCCAGAAATGCACCCGAGCAATACTGCTTGCTTTCAACGGCTGCGGAAATATGATCGACCACTAGAAGTCCTTGTTGGACTGTGGAGTGTTGGGAACGGAATCCGAAGTGATATAAAGGAAGATTTTGAGATTCTATAAAGGGTAGGATTCGTTTCAGGAGGATATTTTCAAGAATTTTTGAAAGGGTTAGAAGTAGGCTAATGGGTCTATAGGAAGTTAAGCTGTTGGGAGGTTTGCCTGGTTTTGGAAATAGAATAATAGTAGAATGTTTAAATAAAAGAGGAAAGTGGGTGGTTCATAGGATGCTATTGTATAGGTATGTAAGGAATATGACAGCTTTAGGAGGGAGTTGTCTAAGGATCTGAGAGGTAAGGAGGCCATATTCAGGTGATTTGGGAGTAGATAGTTTTTGTAAGTGATATTTCACCTCAGAAGGATTAATTTTAGGCAGCAAGAAGAGTGGGAAGGATGAATTAAGGAATTCCTCTACTGCTGACGTGTGGGTGGGGTTGGATTCCGGATGAAAAGTGAATATAAGGGAAAGGTGTTTGGCGAATTCCTCGGCTTTATCTTTGTCAGAGGCTGTCCAAGAGCCATCACCTCGATGGAGAGGATGTGAAATATGATGGGGTTTTAGAATTGTTTTAGTGATCTTCCATAGGGAATTGTCATGAGCAGAGAGTAGGTAGGAGTTGAAGGATTGGGATCTGAAGGTGACCAATTCCTGCATTAATTTTTTGCAGAAACAGTTATAGCATTGACAATCGGTGGGGTGTCTAGTACGTTGCCATAATAATCTGGCACGATGTTGAGGTAACTTATTTTTCTTAGGAGTTCTTGAGGAGTGGTTTGGAGAGGAAGTAGTCCAGATTGCTGGTTCAATAGTGGTGGTAAAGAAATGTACGACATTGTTAAGGCCTTCTGAGATTTTCAGGATTATTCTGAGGTCAATTTTATCAGAAAGGATTTGGTAAACGAGTTTCCAGTTAACTGAGCCTCTGATGAAGGACAGTGGAGAAGGCTTAAGAATAGGAGCTAGATATAATTCGAGTAATAATGGACTATGATCTGAGGAAAGTTTGTCAAGACGGGTAAGGGAATGATTGAGGGTACCTAAGCCACTATGAATGAAAAAAATCAAGGATATCGGGATTGCAGTTAGGATCTGTGGGCCAGTACATAGGTGAATTAGGAGGAAGGAGACTGAATCGTTGAGAATTGAGAGCAATTAGCAATGTTCTACCACAAGAATTCGTGGTTCTAGAACCCTATTGATGATGTTTGGTGTTTAAATCTCCACCCAGGATGAAGTGATGTCCTAAGGGTTGAGAAGAGAACTGAACTGGACATTGGATATGTATCTGTTATGAGGGCAGTATACTGATGCTAAGGTGACGGGAAAGGATAAGGTTTTAATTACGGTGGCGGTGGATAGTTGGAAATCTTGAGTCGGTAATGGGAGCTGTTGATGAGAAGGGAATTGGTGTACAATAACAGCAGTACCAGTATGTGCTCTACCGTCAGGAGGGTCAGTACAGTATGTTATGTATTGGTAAAGTACAGTATGGACTCTGAAGTGGAATATAAAGAAGACATTAGGTCACCTTATCAGTTACGAAGTAAAGTAGGAGCCCAATGAGATGACTTGTTCCGCAATGCACAGGAATATAGAAAAAATAATTTACGAACCACCAAACTCTCACATACCCACCAGACTTATTTACATGAAAAGGTAAAATTATTAATTTTAAGATGATCAAATATCTTTGTGACTAATGAAAATTCATCTTATCTATGTTGATAATTAATTTAGTGTAGAGACAGATGGTGAGAAAATAATAAGGAAATGCAATTGCTGCAAGAGGCTGTTGCTTGGTAGATCTTAAAAATCTTATACTTAATATCTTATTGATTACCGTTCGATGAAATTATGATGTCAAGGTCCCAGGCAAATTCGTACCGAAAATATGTAATTTCAGTTCCATACAATTTTTCGTTTTTGAACTACGGTGTTTACATACACTCGCACAAACATATACCTAAAATAACAGTCCATTATGCGAGAACTGATCCTTTGGAATCAGAAAACATTACCACAAGTATTTCTGTTGAAAACTTGGATTCGAAAATTTTCACAATCGTAATACTTTAGTTTTTCCAAACAATTGTGCACCATCATATTCTCTGTTATAACCAGAGAATCATTTGAGAACTTGTATAAATTGGTGCAATCAATAAATTCGCAGAGATTTGTATCAGTGATACAGTCACTTCCAAAATTAAAATACCGCAGCCTAGCCAAATCATCGAATACTATAAATTAAAAAAAATATTGTTAATATAAATAACAAATGCTCATAAGAAAAAAATATCATAAAAATATTGTTAAACGAAAAAAGTGTTCGAAGCACTGATCTGGTTGGAGGCATAAACATGAGTGTCGTGCAGCATCTTTCTGTCAATGTATGAAAAAACCTGTTCCACTGCAACCCATGAAAGGTCTTATGCAACCTATGAAAGGTTCAGTACTTTCTGACGAAGTACTTTTTCAAGCCTAACGGTTGTGCAGGAAGATGAACGGGGCTGGGATCATGCTCAACAGCTAGAACTTTCCCCATAATTAATTATTTTAATTAAGATAACCCACTTAATAGAGGTTGGCTGTGCCCTAGGAGGGTTTCCTGACCTCAGGGTCGATCCACAGCAGATGAGAATAACTCATCATCAGCCGGATTCAAACCCAAATACCTTGATATTTGGAAGTCAGTGCTTACCCACTGAGCTACTTTGTCAGTACATTCCGCTCTCTTTGTCAATGTATGACTGGGGTCAATTTGTAGTCAGATATTTAACCTCATCATATCATAACAAAAATATAAAACCGCCCAACCTCAACATGTCTTCGAAATTTTACTAGCTTTACAAAGTTGGGCTAATCATTGAGTTACATAATAAGCTTATTCCGTAACAAATGATAATAGTAATATTAATTTCATCACCATTTAAATAATTGAGCTTATTAAATATTCCAATAGGTGAGGTAATGTATTGGCTATTTCCATTACTCAATGGAAAAGGAAATCTCTGATATTGTAGAACTAGTTATCTAAAAGCACCCATAAAACACAACAATAATAAATTTCAGTAAAAGGCTCCTTTCACACAAATTTCCAACCAATATTAAAGGATAAGAATAACTAATGTTAACAACTTCCCTTTCCAGCCCTCCTCGGATTTCCTTCATCCCCTCTACTGGTCCTCATGACAAGAACTCTTGCAATTATATTCTTGTAGTCATACTCTTGGCAGGAATATCATATTCATGATCCTATTTTCATACTCTTGTAAGAGACCTGGCATTGGCTTTTGCAGTCAACCTACATAGTTATAGTTAAATTCAGAATGTAAGATGTCCTGTGATCTTTGGTTTGTTGAAAGACTAAGAAGGTAAGGTACATGTGGGTATTATTTTTCAGCTATTTTACAAATGAGTCAATGTGTTGACTAACTAAATAAATCAAATAATATTTGAGTCATGCAGGATTTTGAGGGAGACCATTAATATTATATGTTAAATGGGGAAAAAAATACCCAACAGTTAACGCATTACAAACAACTTATTTATTTACTGATATAGTTTCCATAGATTCGCCACCAATATTATGTTTATGTGGGTTCCTTTTAAAGAAATAGATAGAACTTCACATGCAATTATTGTTATATATTGCTAAGTTAACGAATTTGAACTATAGAGACTGTTTGAAAGAATCCTTTCTTCTGTAATAAGGCTGATCAGGACACTCATAAATATACTATGTGATGAAATTAGAAAGGATCTTACCTTTATATAATGAACCATTTGTTGTATATATCGGTTCTGGCTGCAATTTGATATGCCTTGTGGCTAGGATAAAAGCTAGAGTTGCTAAGATGAAAGCGTCTAAGCATGCGATGGCGGCCAATATATAAGCCCACCTAAGCGAGCAGTCTCCAAGAGCATAGCGCCCGGCAGATTCCCCGCATGTCCGACGAATCAATTCGCCGTCCCAGGCCATCGGGTAGACTCCCACACTTCCGATCAAAGCAACTCCTAGATCAATGAAATATTTTCAATTTCTCACTTGATAAATCTTTAAACATACATGAAAAGTTAAAATAAATAAGTACAATAAATTTCAATTAAAAAACTATTATTCTGCTTATCTTGAAGGTAATTTAAATTTATAAAATGCGAATTATAGAAAAAAGAAAAAACTACAATTACATGCAATATGAAATGCACTTAAGAAAAACGAAACACTACATTGAACTTGACACACAAAATAAATTTATTTTACATTATTATATTCCTCGTGAAGTTCTGCAGGAATTTCTAATGGACACATGGAGAGAATAGAAACTACTTAGCGAGTGGAAGAAAACCATAATCTGTCCCATACACAACAAAGGTGAATAATATACAGTAACTATCGGGGTATATCTATCCTTCCATGCGGTTACAAAAATCGTGTCTCTTATAGGTTTGAAGCTTTAGAGCTTTCTGACGAGGACCACGAGGATATTGATAAGTTATGGGTAGAGATCAGGGATAATATTAAAGCGGTCGGTGGTAATTATTTACAAGTAGTACTCCTCCCCCCCCTCCCCCATCTTGGTTGAATCAAGGTTATAGGATATGTTTCTGATAAGGTTTACAAAATACAGCACCAGAAAGAGCCACTATTGCGGAGGGTTGTCTTGTCCCTGCACCTCACTCCTTTTTAAGTAAATGTAGAAATTATATCGTTTAGGTTACATATTACACGCCTTTTTTTAAAGTTAGCATTTTTTCTCCGCCATTTTCACTTCATAGAAAATAAATATCGATTGAACACCCATTCCTCCAATTTCCATCTTATCAACATAATATATTTAGATAGATAGATAGATAGAAAAAAAAACTTTATTCTGGGACTAAGTCCCTTCAGAATAACAATAATGTACAAAATAATAGAATATTACTGGCCTAAACGATTGAAACAATAAATAAAATTGATAAAATAAAATAAAAAGTAAAGAAAACCTTAGGTGCACAAGCTATATACAATACAGATAAAACTACAGAGCATTTAAAATTATGAACAAAACAATTAAAACTATGAAAGAATCACTTGAACTATAAACAAAACTATATATATGGGTTGAACAACATAAACATACACTTTGAGAAATGAAGAACGAAAAAGAGATAGAATGAGTTCATTTAAAAAAAAAAAAAAAATTACTTGAATATATATATAAAAATAAACAGTTAATTATAATTGAATAAAAAAAAAATGTATGTATTGAAATTCCTACGTCGATAGTAGGAAATGCATGTACTATCTCTTACCAAGTATTATGATTATATGATTGCTACACAATACATATATAATATTAATAGTTAGCTGGTATCTGACTGTTTTTGGAACAGGAATTGGAATAGGAGGTTTTTGAATGTGTGTAGGGAAGGGGCATGTCGAATTTTGATCAGGATGGAATTCCAAAAGTTGACAAAGCGGGCTATAAAGGAATTTTGGAATGAGGCAGATCTATGAGAAGGGATGTATAGGTCAGAGGGTCGAGATCTTGTAGTGAGGGAATGGATTGAGGACTTAAATTGGAGAAGGTTGTAGGCATAAGAAGGACGATGATCGGCAATGATTTGATAAAGGAAAGTGCCTTGGAAATATTGTCTTCTTAAGGAGGGGAAGAGCCACCCTAACTCAGTGTAGTGGTGGGAGACACGGGAGCGTCTCGGGGTCCCAATTACAAATCCTACGAAGCTATTCATAAGTCTTTCGAGTCTATCACGGAGTTCCACCGAGAGGCTATCGTACACCACACAACTGTAGTCAAAGTGGGGAAAGATGAGAGAGGAAACTAGGAGTCTACGGGTATTTTGGGGTAGAAGATGGCGGAAGTGATGGAATAGTTTGAGGGTAGAAATTGCACGGCGGGATATATGAGAGATATGGTGATTCCAGGAAAGGGTTTGATCTATGAGAAAGCCTAAATTTTTAACAAAGGGATAGAAGGTGATGGGTTGGTTGTTTAGATAGAGTGAGGGAAAGTTGGTGTGGGATCTAAGGAGGGGCTTGGAACCAATGAGAATGACCTGAGTTTTGGCAGCATTTAGCCTTAATCCATTTAAGTTGGCCCAGGCACTAATTCGATCTAAATCTTCTTGAATTTTGGCAAATGCCACCAATAACTCAGCGGGAGAAAAGGATAGATAGATTTGAGAATCGTCGGCATAAAGGTGGTGGGAACAATGGATAATTGAATCATTTAGGTCATTAATATAAGAGCTGAAAAGAAGAGGAGACATGCTTGAACCCTGTGCAACTCCAGAGGATAAAGGAAGGTAGGCAGATAGAGGTTGATTAGGTATGGAAACTGCTTGGGTACGTTGTGAGAGGAAAGACTGGAACCAAGAGATGGAACTATTGGAGAAGGATAATGATTTTAATTTTGAAAAGGATGGAATGGATAATGGAATCGAAAGCTTTGGAGAAATCAAGAAGTATAAGTATGGTTAGTTTTTTGTCATCTATCTATTGCAATCTGAATATCACTGGTAATTTTAATCAGAGCAGATTGTGTAGAGTAGCCAGGACGGAAGCCAGATTGGAGAGGATCGAGTTGGTTGGATTGTTCAAGGAAGTTGGAAACTTGGGATTGCACTAACCTTTCTAGGGGTTTCAAAAGATTGGAAAGGATTGATATTGGGCGGAAATCTTCGAGGATGGATTAGGCTTTGTTTAAAGGAAGGACAATGGCTTTTTTCCAAGAGGTCGGGGATATTGAATTCTGCAGATTCAATGCACAGTGCTGGGAGGATTTCAGGGAGACATAATTTTATTAGTTTGATAGGAATGCCATCTGGGCCTACGGAATTGGAACAAGATTTCATTATAATGGTAATAAGGTCTGTGGGAGAAATGTTGGAAAAATAAAAATTATTGTCGTTAAAAGGTACCTCTGGAGAAAAGCCTGGAAGGGGAGGGTAAAGAAGAGGTGGAAACCACTAGCGGATCAAGGATTTAATTTTTGGGGGGGCTTAAGCCCGAAAGCTTTTTTTTCATAAAAATAACGATAATTCCTTTGGAAAAACAGAAAGAAACTAACTACCTACATGAAATGGTGTTTAAGTGATTCCTTAAGTCCTTTTAAATGTAATTACACGAACAATTATAATTTAAGATGTATTTTTAAAAGTTTTTTTCCATAAAACATGGTTATATTTTATCATTTTGGGGGGGCTTCAGCCCGAAAGCCCTAAATGAAAGAAGTTGATTAACTTAAGTTTTGTTTTAATTGTGACACTTTATCTGTAATTGTACATTACGTATGTCCAATATTAATACAATTAAGGAAGAATTAAACAATTTACAATTTTCTATAATGATTTTAATCCTGGCTAAGGGTTATCTTTTTAAATTATATGTTACTTAAATCTTCTTCTATCAATCAAACACATTTTCAGTCTACTGAGGTATATACTGCCATTACCAGATTCTAATAAAAATGTTTCAGGATCATGTGGGAGAGCTCTAGCGATTGAATAATAATCAAAGAACAAAATATTACTGACATTCCTTTAAATCTGAACTTGTCAGCAGCATTACAAGTTCTTAGCGATTGGTCTCTTAAAGTTTCCTCTTGGAACCACACATTTTCTACATAATTAACTATGCGAATCATCATATCTGTATGATAGACAAGTTTCTTAACAGCCTGTTCTTTTTAATCTTTTTCAAACATTACCTAAATTATGTGTCAACTTGAGCCTGCAAAATTTATAACAGATACTTTAAATATATTTTTACCTATACATCTCAATTATTCACATTTGGTTATTATAATTCCTAAATTGTCATAACCAAACCAATTTAAATCATCTGACCAGTTATTCCTAGCCATTTCCATTGCTATCTATTTACATTATCTGTATCTAATTTTTCATTGTATTGTATGATTAATTTTTCTGAATCCTATCAGAATGAGATATTAAGCAAGAAAGTATAAGTTATCTTCATTCTGTTGTGTATTCCACCAGGAGCTACTCTTTACCTTCTTCTTCATTAAAAATATTAGCGTTTAATTCAAATCGATTCATCCTTCCTTTGAAAATTTAGTATATCCTAGATAGAAGTTTTATATTTTTTAAAATCAGCTTGTGTATAAAATGTACCTTAGTTATATACCGGAAGTATAGATCTATGAAAGATTTAGGTTTTACATCATCTCATGTTTTTGCTTTCAGCCTCAACCTTTCCTGACATTGTTTAAAGAGTTTATTAGTTTCCATTATTCCATTATTAGCCACAAAAGATGCTATGTTTTGAGATGTTGTAGTTTATTCGGGATGCCACTGGATAATTATTGAGACCTCTTTTCTTCCTTCTCGGTAGATATTTCTAATTGAACATTTTATTTTTCAAGAACTCTTTGTATAAAATAAATATATTTGTTTGCACAAAAGAATAAGGTATTCTAGATTATTTTTTCCTACTTGGATTGTTAAGATTCCTTATGTTTTCTATATTGAGCCACTACTCCTTGGTCAATTTGATCATTACTGGTGGTAATGTATTCTTATTTGAACAATAAGTCTATTCCCAATAGTTAAATTATTTACAGCCTTGCAAAACATTTGGGACACTTTAGGAAGAAACTAATAAACTCATTAAACAATGTCAGGAAAGGTTGAGGCTGAAAGCCAAAACGTGAGATGATGTAAAACATAAATCTTTCATAGGTCTATACTTCATGTATATAACTTTTTTTTTTTTTTTTTTTAATCTTTTTATTGAGAAATAATACATTTTGCCACATTTAAGGGCACTGAGTATTAAAGCTGAGTGAGGCCCATTCATACTATATATAAAATGCAATAAAAAAATAAATAAATAAAAAATAAAAATATATATCTATAACATCTATCTATCTATATAACAAAGGTAAAAACTATAAAACTAAAGAAATATAACTTGAAATTTTTTTTTTTTTTATTTTTTTTTTTTTATTTCTTTATGACATTTGCAACTGTATTACATAAATACATCA